GGCAGACCGAGACCGGCGGGCACATGCTCACGCCCCTCCCCGGCGCGACGACCACCGTCCCAGGCTCCTGCACGCGCCCCTTCTTCGGCATCGACGCCGCCGTGGTCAACAGCCAGGGCGAGGAGCAGCCGGCGAACACGGGCGGGCTCCTCGTGATCCGCAAGCCGTGGCCGGGCATGCTCCGCGGGATCTACGGCGACCGGGAGCGGTTCGTCGAGACCTACTGGTCGGCCGTGCCCGGGATGTACCTCGCGGGCGACAGCGCGCGAAAGGACGAGAACGGGAACTTCTGGATCATGGGCCGCATCGACGACGTGATCAACGTCTCCGGCCACCGCCTGGGGACGATGGAGGTCGAGAGCGCCCTCGTGAGCCACGACGCGGTCGTCGAGGCGGCCGTCGTCGGCATGCCGCACGAAATCAAGGGCACCGGCATCGCGGCCTTCGTGACCCTCGAGCCGAGCCACAAACCGTCCGAAGAGCTCCGCGACGCCCTGCGGGCGCACGTGGGCGAGGAGATCGGGGCGATCGCCAAGCCGGACATGATCCGCTTCACCGACGCCCTGCCCAAGACGCGCTCGGGCAAGATCATGCGCCGGCTCCTCCGCTCCATCGCCGCGGGGGACGAGGGGGAGCAGGACGTGACGACGCTTGAGGATTTCAGTGTGGTGGCGAAGCTGAAGGAGAGCGAGGAGGGGTGAAGTATCAGGCACTGGGCACTAGGCACTAGGCACTCGGAATACCGTTTGCGATGGACGGTAATTTCACCGTCTCACCGTCTCACCGTCGACAAGACCAGGTATCAACGATTCTTCTGTCCCGAAACGAGGCCCCACCACCATGCGATCATTCCTCTGTCTCTCCGCCGCCTGCCTGACCGTCCTGTGTTCGGCCGCCACGTCCGTCGCGTCGGACATCAAGGACTCGGTCGTCAAGGTCACCGCGATGTACCGGGCGCCCGAGCTGACGCGCCCGTGGACGAAGGGCACGACGACCGAATTCTCGGGCACGGGCTTCGTGATCGACGGCGAGCGGATCATCACCAACGCGCACGTCGCGGAATACGCGACGCAGATCTTCGTCCAGCCGGCGGGCTCGTCCGACCGGTTCCGCGCGAAGGTGACGGCGATCGCCACGGGCATCGACCTCGCCGTCCTCGAGCTGATCGAGGACAAGGACAAGTTCTTCGCCGAGCACCCGTCGCTGGAGCTCTCGGCCGAGCTGCCGAGGATCGGCGCGACGGTCAACGTCCACGGCTTCCCGGAGGGCGGGACGCAGATCTCCGTGACCGAGGGCATCGTCTCCCGGATCGAGTACAGCCTGTACTACAACCTCGTGCAGGGCCTGGTGATCCAAGTGGACGCGGCGCTGAACTCCGGCAACAGCGGCGGCCCCGCGGTCTCGGACAACAAGGTCGTCGGCGTCGTCTTCTCGAACATGCCCGAGAGCGAGAACATCGGCTTCATCATCCCCGTCGAGGAGCTGAACCACTTCCTCGAGGACGTCGCGGACGGCACGTACGACGGCCTGCCCTCGATCAAGGACGACCTGCAGACGCTCGAGAACGACGCGATCCGCGAGAAGCTGGGCCTGCCGGACGAGCTCACCGGCATGATGGTGACGGGCACGTACACCGACGACGAGTCCTACCCGCTGCGTCCGTACGACGTCCTCGATCGCATCGGCTCGTACGACATCGAGAACGACGGGTACGTGAACTCCGACGACGGCCTGCGGCTCGCCTGGTCGTATTACGTCCGCAAGGTGATGCGCGACGGGGCCGTGCCCATGACGGTCGTCCGGGGCGGGGAGTCGATGGAGGTGAGCGTCCCCCTGGCGCCCCACGGCGACTCGTTCGCGCCGTACCTGGACAACACCTACCCGGACTACTTCATCTACGGTCCGCTCGTGTTCACGCCGGTGTACGGCGACCTGTTCGACGAGGTCTACCTGGAATACCACGCGTGGTACGCGAGCCCGCTGGCGAGGCGCGCCGGCGGCGCCCGGGAATTCGAGGGCGAGCAGCTTGTCGTCTGCCCGAGCCCGCTCTTCCCCCACCGCATCTCCAAGGGCTACGAGACCGGCTACTTCCCGGTGCTCGAGTCGGTGAACGGCGTGAAGATCCGCAACATGACCCACCTCGTCGAGACGCTCCGCGACCTCAAGGGCGAGTACGTGACCTTCGAATGGGACTGCCGCGACCAGGAGACGCTCGTGTTCCGGCGGGCGGACATCGAGGCCGCGACCGAGGAGATCCTCGACGAGAACGGCATCCGCTACCAGATGTCCGACGTGTACCGCGACATCTGGGAGTAGCGCGACGTCGCGTCGGCGCCGGCCGGCGCACAAAAAAACCCCTCGCCGAGCGAGGGGTCTGCTTTGGCTTCAATGGGCGCTGGCCTTACGGCTCCATGATCACGTAGAACTCGCCGGTGCCGAGCTTCTGGAACGCGCCGGTGGTCAGGACGCCGTCGTCGTAGAGGGCGTCGATCTGAGCCATGAAGGCGTCGGTCGGGGGCGAGGTGGGGAAGAAGACGCCGACGCCGAAGGTGACCGCGCCGCCGGAGATGACGTCCCAGTTGCCGCCGATCGGCGTGGTGGTGCCCCACTCGCCGCTGTCGAGCCAGGTGTCGTACTCCGTGGGCATCATGCCGAATGTGTGCTCCACCGGGTACTGGCCCGACATGGTGTAGCTCAGGTTGGCGACCTTGACGAGCTCGTTGAGCGTCGTGACGAAGGCCGTCTGGGCCGACTGCTCCGACGCGCTGGAAAACTTCGGAACCACGATCGCCGCGAGGATCCCGAGGATCACGACGACGATCAGGATCTCAACGAGCGTGAACGCTTTGCGGGCGTGTGCGAACATGGGTCCGTCCCTCTATCGACCTGTACCGATTCCGGCGTGCTCGTCCTTGGGCCGCCTCGGGGGGACTCATCGGTTGAGCGGCCCAGCGTCTTGCCGGCCGCGTGCGTCATTGCCCCATTTCTGTGTGTGTATATGTGGACAGGTCCGTCTGTGACGGCTCGCCGATGGTCGCGCCGGCGACGGCGGGTCCGTCTGTGACGGTCAGGCGCTGTGTGAGGCGTTGAGGTGCGCGGCGCTGAGCATCTCGATCTCCGAGAGGCTCCGGTCGGCGTGCACGCGGAAGAACATGTGCGGGAAGAGCGTCACCAGCGCCACGATGAGCCCGCACGCCGTCGTGATGAGCGCCTGGGCGATGCCCGCGGCGACGGCCGAGATGTCGGCCACGTTCTCGGACGAGCCGAGCAGGTCGAAGGACTCGATGATGCCCAGGACCGTCCCGAGGATGCCCAGGAGGGGCGCGGCGGTGATGATCGTCGAGTGCGTGGTGCTGAAGCGCTCCAGGGCCGGGCGGAACCGCTCGGCCATCTCGATGGCGATGGTCTCGCGGACCTTGGTGTCGAGGAGGGCCCGCGTGACGTTGGCGTAGACGGAGGTGTCCTTGGCGATCAGCGCCTCGGTCGCGGCGCGGTCGCCCTCGCCGAGCCTGGCGATGACCGATCGGAGCCACTTCCGGCGCGCCGGCGAGCGGGTGCCGAGCCAGAAGATGAGCCGCTCGATGCTCATCGCGACGGAGACAATCGAGAGCGCGAGAAGGGGCCACATCACGGGCCCGCCGCGCTCGAAGAGGGAGATGATCTGCTGCACCGCGTCGTCCATGGGCGTCATGATACGTTTCCGCCGGGATCCCGTGGTGTCTTCTATACTGTGCGGTTTCGGAGCCCGTGCCATGACGGAGTCTTTGCGTGCCCCAAGCCCCAACCGGAACCACCGTTGACGTGACCGCCTCCCTCGCCGGCGAACTCGAACGCATCGACGCGCTGCTCACGCGGACGCTCGACGAGCTGAACGCCCCGTCCAACCTGGACGAGGCGTACCGCTACGCCCTGTTCACGGGCGGCAAACGCGTCCGCCCGATGCTCGCCCTCCTCTGCTGCGAGGCGGTCGGCGGCGACATGGCCTCGTCCCACGCCAGCGCCGCGTCCGTCGAGATGATCCACGCCTTCTCACTCGTCCACGACGACCTCCCCGCCCTGGACAACGACGACCTCCGTCGCGGCAAGCCCACCCTCCACAAGGCCCACGGCGAAGCCATGGCGATCCTGGCGGGCGACGGCCTGCTCACGCACGCGTTCACCGTCCTCTGCCGCGAAACGAAGGACCCGGCGCTCGTCGGCCTCCTCTGCACCGAGCTGTGCCGCGGGACCGGTGCGATGATCGACGGGCAGGTCTACGACACGCTCGGGGGCTTCCGCGGGGCTCTGAGCGAAGAGGAGAAGCTGCTCGCGATCCACCACAACAAGACCGGTGCGCTGATCACCGCCTCGTGCCGCATGGGTGCGATGGCCGGGATGTGGCCCGAGATCGACCCGTCCAAACTGGAGGCGATCACCGCCTACGGGCGGGCGATGGGCCTGATGTTTCAGGCGGTCGACGACCTGCTCGACGTCGAGAGCACGCCGGACACCCTCGGGAAAGCCACCCAGAAGGACGCCGAGGCGGGCAAGCTGACGTACCCCGGGGTTTTCGGGATCGAGGGCACGCGGGCGCGCATCAACGGGTTACAGGACGAAGCCCTGGAAGCGATCTCGGCCTTCGGCGAACAATCCGAGCCATTGGCCGCCTTGTGCCGCACCATGACGGAGCGGGCGTCGTAGAGTCGGTTCGTCGCCCGCCATTGGCGTGGACGGCCGCCATGTGTGAGAATGCGAGATTGCACCCGAAGAGACGTTGACCCGGGCCTATCATCTTTCAATAATTATTGAAAATAGAACGCCCGCAACAGGAGACCGTGCATGGCGATTCTCGAACGGATTCAGTCGCCCAAGGACATCAAGTCCCTCTCGATGGAAGAGCTGGACGTGCTCGCGGGCGAGATCCGCACGGCGATCTGCGATCAGGTCTCCAAAACGGGCGGCCACCTGGCGCCCAACCTGGGCGTCGTCGAGCTGACGATCGCGCTGCACTACGTCTTCGACTTCGGTCACGACCGCCTGCTCTTCGACGTCGGCCACCAGTGCTACCCGCACAAGCTGCTCACCGGTCGCCTGCCGATGCTGGCGGACCTGCGCACGAGCAAGGGCATGGCGGGCTTCCCCGAGCCGCGCGAGAGCGCGTTCGACCTGTTCTCCGTCGGCCACGCGGGCACAGCGGTCTCGACGGCCGTCGGCATGGCGCGGGGCGATTCGCTCAACAAGGAAGCCTGGGTCCCCGGTGAGAACGACGGCGGGCGACGCGTTGTTTCCCTCGTCGGCGACGCCTCGATCGTCAACGGACTCGCGATGGAGGGGCTCAACAACGCGGGCACGCTCAAGCGCCAGTTCCTCGTGATCCTCAACGACAACGGGATGTCCATCTCCAAGCCGCAGGGCGCGATGGCGCAGTACTTCGACCGCGTCCGCATCCACCCGTTCTACGAGGAGATGAAACGCACCGCCAAGCGCGTGCTCGACAAGCTCCCCGGCGGCTCGCTCGCGGCCGAGGCGTACCACCGCATGGGCGAGGTCGCGAAGGCGGCGCTGGCCGAGGGCTCGTGGTTCGAGCACTTCGGCCTCGTCACCGTCGGTCCGATCGACGGTCACGACCTGCCGACGCTCATCGAGTTCCTCACGGAAGCCAAGGAATACGACCGCCCGATGGTCCTGCACGTCAAGACCGTCAAGGGCAAGGGGTACCAGTTCTCCGAGGGCGACGCGACGACGTTCCACTCCCCGCCCGCGTTCACGTTCGACCCGGACTCGTGCCGCGTCGAGGTGAAGAAGAAGGGCCGCTCGTTCACGAGCGCCTTCGCGGACGCGATGACGGGCGTGCTGGAGCGCGACGAGAAGGCCGTCGCCTGCACCGCCGCGATGCCGGGGGGCACGGGCATCGACAAGGTGATGGAGAAGTTCCCGGATCGCACGTTCGACACGGGCATCTGCGAGTCGCACGCGATGGACATGATGGCGGGCCTCGCCAAGACCGGGCACCGCCCCTTCTTCGCGGTGTACTCCACGTTCCTCCAGCGCGCCTTCGACCAGGCGTTCCAGGAAGTCGCGCTGCAGGGCCTGGCCGTCCGCCTGTGCCTCGACCGCGCCGGCCTCGTCGGCGGCGACGGCGCGGTGCACCACGGGTTCTGCGACATCAGCATCCTCCGCACGCTCCCGAACGCCGTGCTCATGGCCGCGTCGGACGAGCCCTCGCTCAACGCGGCGCTCGAGTTCATGCGCACGCACGACGATTCGCTCAGCGCCCTCCGCTACCCGCGGGACAACGTCGCCGATCTCGGCACGGGAGACTGCCCGCCGTTCGAGCTGGGCAAGGCCCGGGCGCTGATCGAGGCGGAGAACCCCGACGCCGCGATCCTCGCCTACGGCACGATGTGCGAGCGCTCGCTCGAGGCGGTGAACATCCTGGGCCGCGAGCACCGCGTGAGCGTCTACGACGCCCGCTTCGCCAAGCCGGTGGACCGCGAACTGATCAAGCGCCTGCTCGGCGCCGGCGTCCCCGTCCTGACCGTCGAGGACCACTCGGTCGTCGGCGGATTCGGCGCGGCGGTCGTCGAGGCGGCGAACGACATGGGCCTGGACGCCTCGCGCGTCACGCGTCTGGGCATCCCCGACGCGTGGATCTACCAGGACTCCCGCGGCAAGCAGCTCGAGGAGGCGGGGCTCGACCCGCAGTCGATCGCCCGCGCCGTCCGCGCTGCGACGAACGGCGGGGAGACGGCCCCGACGGGCCACGGGAACGGCGTCATCGAGGTCCGCCCGAGCGGCGCTCCAACGCAGACCCGCGAGTCCTGAGGCGGCCCGCATGGGACGCAGCGTCTACCTCCTCGTCAACCGCGACAAGCCTCAGGTCCGTGAGGTCATCGACGACGTGCGCGCGCTCATCGAGAAGCACGGCACGATCGTCCACGAGGCGCACACGCGGGGCGAGGACATCACCGACACGCACGGCGCGGACCTCTTCGTCGTGCTCGGCGGCGACGGCACCATCCTGGGCCAGACGCGGCGCACCGAGAGCCTACACCTGCCGATCGTCGGCGTGAACTTCGGGCGACTGGGCTTCCTGGCGGAGTTCAACCACGAGGCGTTCGAACGCCACGCGGAGCGCATCATCGGCGGCGGCCCGCTCACGATCGAGGACCGCCTGATGCTCTCCGTCGAGGTGTACACCAACGGCGACCGCGTCTTCGAGGGCGAGTCGCTCAACGACGCGGTCATCACCGCGGGGCCGCCCTTCCGGATGATCGAGATCGGCGTGACGATCGACGGCGAAGGCGGCCCGACGCTCAAGGGCGACGGGGTGATCGTGAGCACGCCCACGGGCTCGACGGCGTACAACGTCAGCGCCGGCGGGCCGATCGTCGCCCCGGGGCTCGACGCGATGACGATCACCCCCATCGCGGCCCACTCCCTCGCGTTCCGCCCGATCGTGGTGGACGCGAACACGACGATCGACCTGCAGATCGTGCACGCGAACGCGGTCGAGAATTGCGACCCGGGCACGCCCGGGTGCATGGGAACGACCCTCGTGCTCGACGGGCAGGAGATGCACCCGCTCTCGGGCGGGGAGCGGGTTCGCATCCGCGAGAGCACGCGTGAGCTCAAGCTCGTGCAGAACCCCGAGATGGGCTACTGGAAGACCCTGATCCAGAAGCTGCACTGGGCGGTGCCGCCGAGCCGCCCGGACGGGGCGTAAACCCCCTCTTCGCCCGGAGAAGGGCACGAATCGTGTTTTCTCCCACACGAACGCGGGTTTTTCGGTTCTGCCGGAGATGGAAAATTCGAGAATTCGACTAGCGGAACCCTCCGCGTGCCTGTATGTTCATGGTGTTGAGAAGGGGAAGCATCCGGGCCTCGGCTCGGATCGGGAGGGAGAGCTCTCCTAAACAGAGAGCCACACGTCAGAGGGCCTCGGCCCTCACGCCGGTACGGATTTGGGAAGGTCCATCCGGCACAGGTCATCGGGTCTGATGATCTGAAACACGTCATAGGGGGATCGTTGGGAGACCCCCCCAACATCCACGCACGTCGTGAAAACGATGTGTGGCAGAAGTCGAGGTCATCTTCACGGATGGCCTCGACTTTTTTAACGCGCCCGCGTCCCCTCCCCCGCTTCGCGTTACCATCCCTCCCCATGATCGACCTGAAAAAGCTCCGCGACGACCCCGAGCGATACCGCAAGGGGGCCGCGCTCAAGAAGATGACCGTCGAGATCGACCGCCTCGTCGACCTCGACGCGAGGCACCGCGAGGCCCTCGCGGAGATGGAGTCCCTCAAGGCCGAGCAGAACAAGCTCGCCAAGGAGACCGGACCGGCCATCGGCAAGCTCTCGGGCCAGCTCAAAAAAGCCGAGGGCGACGAAAAGGCGGCGCTCCAGGCGCAGATCGACGAGCTGAAATCCAAGCCGCAGGCGCTCAAAGAAAGGATCGCCGGCCTCGACGAGTCCGTCACAGCCCTCAAGGCGGAGCTGACCGAACTCGCCCTGCACGTCCCCCAGCCGCCGGACGACGACGTCCCCGTCGGCGAGTCCGCGGACGACAACATCCAGACGAAATCGTGGAACCCCCCGTGGTTCGACCCGGGCAAGAGCTTCGAGCAGAACAAGGGCTTCGCGCCCAAGACGCACCAGGAGCTCGTCGAGAAGCTGAGCCTCGTGGACTTCGAACGCGGCGTGAAGCTCGCGGGCTCGCGGAGCTACATGCTCACGGGCGACGGCATGCGCATGCACCAGGCGGTGCTCGCCTACGCCTTCGACCTCATCACGAACACGCACGGGTTCACGCCCGTCTCGGTGCCCGTCGTCGTGCGCGAGGAGTGCATGGTCGGCACGGGCTTCTTCCCGCACGGGCGGGAGCAGACGTACGTCATCGACGAGAACGCCCGCGGGTCCGAGCACGACCTGTACCTCACCGGCACGGGCGAGGTCGGTCTCATGGGCTACCGGTCGGACGAGATCCTCGACGAAGCCGACCTGCCGCTCAAGTACGCGACGGTCTCCCCCTGCTTCCGGCGCGAGGCCGGCGCCGCGGGGCGCGACGGGGCGGGGCTCTACCGCATCCACCAGTTCGACAAGGTCGAGCAGGTGATCATCTGCAAGGCGGACGAGGCGGAGAGCCGCAAGTGGCACGCCACGATGATCGGCATCGTCGAGGAGCTGCTGCAGTCGCTCGAACTCCCCTACCGCCTGCTCCAATGCTGCACGGCCGACCTCGGGCCGAAGAACGCGGACATGATCGACATCGAGTGCTGGATGCCGAGCCGTGGCGAATTGGACAGTGCGGGACGCCCGACGGGCGCCTACGGCGAGACGCACAGCGCGTCGCGCCTGTACGACTTCCAGTGCCGCCGCCTGAACCTTCGGTACCGCCCTGACTCCGGGGGGGGCGGGAAGCAGACGGTCTACTGCCACTCGCTCAACAACACGGTCCTCGCGAGCCCGCGGTTCCTGATCCCGATCCTGGAGCTCTACCAGAACGAGGACGGGACGGTGACGGTTCCGGAGAAGCTGCGTCCGTACATGGGCGGGCGGGAGCGGATCGGCTGACGATCAGTCCTCATCCGGGAACGCCGACACGAACCGCCCGCGGATCGTGTCGCGGTCGCGGTTCCGGCTCGCGAGCGCCGTCTGCATGAGGGTCGGGTGCGTCGCGACGGCCTCCTCGCCCTCGCCCGGGCGGAGCTGCGTGTAGGAGCCGTCGGGGTTCATCGCCCAGGCCTGGACGTTGTCGCTCAGGTGCACGTGCAGCACGTCCCACAGGCGGGCCCGCGCGGCCGCGTCCTCGACGGGCGTGATCGCCTCGACGCGGTTCTCGAGGTTTCGGTACATCCAGTCGGCGCTGCCGATGTAGAACTCGCCGTCGACGGGGTCCTCGGCGCCGTTGCGGAAGTAGAAGACGCGCGAGTGCTCGAGGAATCGCCCGATGATCGAGCGGACGCGGATGTTCTCGGAAAGCCCCGGCACGCCCGGGATCAGGCAGCAGAACCCGCGGACGATGAGGTCGACCCGGACGCCCGCGCCGGAGGCCTCGTAGAGCAGGCGGATGATCTCGCGGTCCTGGAGCTGGTTCATCTTCGCGACGATGCGGGCCTCTCGGCCCTCCATCGCGTGGGCGGTCTCGCGCTCGATCATCTCCTGGAACCGCGCCCGCATGTTCACCGGCGCGATGAGCAGCTTGTTGTAGTTGCGGTTCAGCGAGCGGCCCGTCAGGAAGTGGAACAGGTCCACGATGTCGTCCGTGAACTCCGGCGCCGAGGTGAACAGGCCCATGTCCGTGTACGCACGGGCGGTGCCGGCGTGGTAGTTGCCGGTGCCGATGTGCACGAAGCACTTCACGCCGTCGCCCTCGCGCCGCACGACCAGCGCGGTCTTCGTGTGCGTCTTGAGCCCCACCATGCCGTACACGACGTGCACGCCCGCTTTCTCGAGCTGGTGCGCGACCTGCACGTTCCGCTGCTCGTCGAACCGCGCCTTGAGCTCCACGACGCACACCACCTGCTTGCCCGCCTCCGCGGCCCGGATGAGCAGCGGGATGAACGGCGAGTCGTCGCCGGTGCGGTAGAGCGTCATCTTGATCGCCAGGACGTTCTTGTCCTCGCTCGCCGCCTTGATGAACCGGAGCACGCTCGAGGCGAAGCTCTCGTAGGGGTGGTGCACGAGCACGTCGCCGTTGCGCAGCGTTTCGAAGATGTCCGCGTCCTCGTCCGCGAAGGCCGGGGGCGTGATCGGGTTCCACGAGGGGTACTTCAGCTCCGGCATCGGCACGTCGTAGACCGGGCGGAGGTCGGTGTAGTCGAACTCGCCGGGCAGCTCGTAGATATCCCGGTCGGCGAGTTTCAGCTCGGTGCGCAGGAACTTGAGCAGCCACGGGTCCGGGTCAGGCCCGTGCTCGAGGCGGACGATGTTCGCGAAACGGCGCGCCCGGAGCTCCTCCTCGATCATCTCGAGCAGGTCCTCGGCGTCCTCCTCTTCGCGGTCGATGTCCGCGTTGCGGGAGATGCGGAAGGGCATCACCCCCACCACCTCGAGGTCGACGAAGAGCGTGTCGATGTTGTGCTGGATGATGTCGAGCAGCCGCACGAAGCGGTACTCGTTCTCGTCCTCCTCCGGGGCGAGGTCGATCCACTGCGGGAGCACGACCGGGATCTTCACCCGCGCGAAGAGCTTCTCGTCCTCGCCCGGGTGGCGCAGCGCCACCGCGAGGGACTTGCTCAAGTTCGAGAGGTGCGGGAAGGGGTGCCCGGGGTCCACGGCGAGCGGCGTGAGGATCGGGAAGACCGACTTCATGAAGTAGCGGTCGGCCGCGTCGCGTTCCTCGTCGGTCAGCTCGCTCCAGTCGAGCAGGTGGATGTTCTGATCCTTCAGCGCCGGCCGGATGTCCCGCGCGAAGATCTCCGCCTGCTCCTGCAAGAGCGGGAGCACCGCCTGGCGGATCGCCGGGAGCTGCACCGTCGCGGTGAGGCCGTCGTAGCTCCGCGTCACGACCCCCGCGGCGATCTGGCGCGAGAGCCCGCCGACGCGCTTCATGATGAACTCGTCGAGGTTCGACGTGAAGATGCCCAGGAAGAAGACGCGGTCGAGCAGCGGCGTGCGCTCGTCCGCCGCCTGCGCGAGGACGCGCCGGTTGAACTCGAGCCACGCGATCTCCCGGTTGAGGAAGAGCTGGCCGGCGGTGTGGTCGGAGTTGGTCTGGTCGCGTGCGGTCATGAACATGCATGTGCTCCGGGGTGGGTGGAGCACTGTATTGGAGAAGTGTGTGGTTTCTGTCAGGATAGGGATATCGTATCAGCAGGCGATCGGTTTCGGCCAAATGAAAAAACCCGCTCACATCCTTCAGCAGGACGCGGCGGGCCTCTCTCTCTCGAAGTGGCGATACGTGGATTCGAACCACGGACCTAGGGTTTATGAATCCCTCGCTCTAACCAACTGAGCTATATCGCCGTAGGGCGGGAGAGTATACCCCAAAGATCCGGATCGCCCAAGGCGGGATCCGTGGGTCGTGGGCCGTCGCGTTATTGGGCGGGCGACTTCACGGGGCCGCCGTTCGCGGCGCCGGCTCGCACCCAGCGGGCGGGGAGCTCGGCCTCGGGGTATTTCCGCCTGATGGAGGCCGCGATGAGGCCCATGAACATCGGCTGCGGTCGCAGGGGGCGGCCCATGAGCTCGGGGTGGAACTGGCCGGCGACGAAGAAGGGGTGCTCGACCTCGGGCGAGACGCCCTGGCCCGGGCCCGGGAGCTCGAGGATCTGCATGATCGGGTGATCCGGGTGGCGGCCCGAGAAGACGAGGCCAGCGTCCGTGAGCCGCTTGATGACGGCGGGCTCGACCTCGTAGCGGTGGCGGAAGCGTTGGCGGACGGAGGTGGATCCGAAGAGGTGATTCGCGAAGGTGCCGGGCTCGATGAGGACGTTCTGCCCGCCGAGGCGCATGGTGCCGCCGAGCTGCTCGATCTGCTTCTGGTCCGGGAGCTCGGAGATGACGGGCGTGCAGTTGCCCTGCTTGAACTCGGAGGAGTGGGCGTCCGCGATGCCGGCGACGTTGCGCGCGAACTCGATGACCGCGGTCTGGAAGCCGAGGCAGATGCCCAGGAAGGGCAGCTTGCTCGTGCGGGCGTAGCGGGCGCAGGCGATCTTGCCCTCGACGCCCCGCGTGCCGAAGCCGCCGGGGACGATCAGGCCGTCGAGGTCGCTCAGGCGCGAGGCGGCGTTCTCGTCCGTGATCTCCTCGGCCTCGATCCACACGGTCTCGATCTGGGTGGAGAGGTGGGTGGAGCAGTGCTCGATGGCCTTGTCGATGGAGGCGTAGGCGTCGCGCACGGAGGCGTACTTGCCGGCGATGCCGACGCGGATGTGACGCGAGCGCGGGGACTCCATCATCTTGATGTAGTTCGTCCAGCGGGCTCGCTCGGTGTCCTCGTGGGAGAGGTCGACGCGGTCGTGCAAATCGAGCACGCTCAGGATCTCGCGGTCGATGCCTTCCTGGCGCATCGCCTCCGGGATCGTGTAGATCGACTTGCGGTCGTGCATCGAGAAGATGCGCCGCAGCGGGACGTTCGAGAACATCGCGATCTTCTGCTCGACCGTCGGGGAGATCGGCTGGCTCGCGCGGCACGCGATGAGCGTCGGCTGGATGCCCGCCTCCATCACGCGCTTGATGCCGAGCTGCGCCGCCTTGGACTTCTGCTCGCCCAGCGCGGCGGGCTCGATGATGTACGTCAGCGCGACGAAGCACGTCGAGCGCGGGCCCTCCTCGAAGGCCAGCTCGCGCAGGGCCTCGATGTACAGGCCGTTCTCGTAGTCGCCCACGGTCCCGCCGACCTCGACGAAGACGACGTCCGCGGGGTTATTGCCATCGCCGTACATCGCGAGTTCGCGGAGGCGGCGCTTAATCTCGCCCGTGACGTGCGGGATCATCTGGACGTCGCGCCCGAGGTACTTGCCCCCGCGCTCCCGGTCGAGGATGTCGCGGTAGATCTGCCCGGCGGTGACGAAGTTCCGGTGGCTCAGGTCCTGGTCGAGCATGCGCTCGTAGGTGCCCAGGTCCATGTCGGTCTCGGTGCCGTCGTCGAGGACGAAGACCTCGCCGTGGCGGTACGGGTTGAGCGTGCCCGAGTCGACGTTGAGATACCCCTCCATCTTGATGGGCGCGACGGAGAGGCCCTTGTCTTTGAGGAGCTTGGCGAGCGAGGAGGAGAAGATGCCCTTGCCGAGGCCCGAGATGACCGTTCCGAGCACGACGACGTAGCGGTGGCGCCCCTTCTGGTAGCCGGGCGGGACGGGGGAGTAGAACTCGGTGTCGGTGGTGGCGTCGGAGGTCGCGGCGAGCATCTCGCTGGCGCGACGCTGCACGTCGTTGGACGCGTTTGGCGTCCGACTCGAATCGTCCTGACTTTCCGATTGGGGCATGTCTGATCGTACCACGATCGGGGTGCGCCGAACAAGAGGCGGTTGGATGGGGAATCAGACTTTGTTCGAGCGGTGCCGCGAGACGAACGCCTCATAATCCGCCCGGGTGTCGATACCCACGGAGCGGCTCTCCCGGACGACCGCCCGGATGGTCATGCCACCGTCGAGGAAGCGGAGCTGCTCGAGCTTCTCGCTCTTTTCCAGGGGGCACTCGGGGAGGGCGACGTACCGCTTGAGGGCGGCCACGCGGTAGACGTAGAGCCCGATGTGCTTGAGCGGCGGGCAGTCGCCCTCGCCGTCCCGGTCGTGGGGCACAAGGGCGCGGCTGAAGTAGAGCGCCTTGCCGTCCCGGGTGAGGACGGCCTTCACGACGCTCGGCTTCGTCGGGTCGTCTTCCGGGGCGAATCGAGAAACGATCGTGGTCACGTCCGCGTCGGTCTCGCGGATGAGCTTCACCGCGTCGTCGACGAGGCTCGCCTCCATCTCCGGCTCGTCGCCCTGAACGTTCACGACGATCCCGTCGTCCGGCATCCCCAGAAGCCTCGCGGCCTCCTCGAGCCGGGAGGTGCCGTTGGGGTGCTCGCCCGTGATGACCGCCTCACCGCCGAAGGCTTTCACGGCGGTCGCGATCTCGTCGTGGTCGCACGCCACGACGACGCGGTCGGTCACGGTCGCGCGGCTCGCGGCCTCGAAGACGTGCTGGATGAGGGGCTTGCCCGTCTCCGCGAGCAGGACTTTCCGGGGGAGCCGGACCGATCCCAGGCGGGTGGGGATGATGATGGCGACGGGCGCGTTGGGGTCGGACGCCATGGCTCAGTTCGAGGCTTTGAGCGCCTTGACGTGCTCCTGGATCGCGGCGCGCCGATCACGGATGTCCTTGTAGTTGATCTGCTGGATCGCGATGGAGGACGCGAGCTTGAACGACTCTTCGGCCGATTCGAGATCGTTCTGGTCGCGGGCCTTGCGGTCCAGCGCGTCCATCAGGCCGTAGCGGAGCTGCATGCCCAGGTCGGTCGTCTCGTTTTCGACCTTCTCGATGCCGTTGCGGAACGAAGAAATAGCCTCGTCGAGCCAGCCCATGTGGACGAACGACTGCCCCAGGTAGTTGAGCACCTTCACGGCGATGCCCGGCGTGCCCTGGGCCTGCTGGAACTGCTCGATGGCCTGGTCGTAGTGCTCCATCTCGAAGTGACGCCGGCCGAGCTCGTACTTGATCTGGACGTCCGTCGGGATCGCGGCGACGCGCTCGGTGTACTCGGCGATCTCCGCCTCGATGACCTGACGCTTCGCCTTCTCGAACTTCTCCCGCAGCGCGGCGTCGTCGGGCTTGGCGTCCGCGGCCTTTTTGACCTGCGCGAGCTTGCGCCGGGCGACGCGCATCTTGATGTCGCCCGCGAGCATCTTGAATCGGTAGGTCTGCGTGTCCTCGAAGCCCTTGAGCAGGAGCTTGTACGCCGCGGCCTCGTCTTCCGGGCTGCCCCGTTCGAGGAGGGATTTGGCGAGTTTCTGGATGGCGTGGATGTCCGTCGGTCGGGACTCGTAGTCGGCCTGCGCTTTGGCGATGATGCGGTCCTGGACCTCCTCGGTCTTGACGATGCGGTCTTCCTCTTCGAGCTCCTGCTGGGCCTGAGAGCTGCGGATGTTCTTGCGGAAGCCGCCCGATTCGCCGGTCTGGTCGAATCCCGAGCGGGACATGGTCGCCATGGCGGACATGTTCTTGACCTGCGCTTCGAGCTTGCCATCGGAGGGATCGAGCTGGATGGCGCGCTCGCCGGCGACGGTGGCCTTGTCGTGGCCGCCGGAGGCGTCGAAGAGCTTCATGAGCTGGACGTAGTGGTCCTTCTTGGCCTTGGGATCGTTGGCCATGAGGGCGAGGGCGCGGGAGCCGATGAAGTACGCGGGCTCGTTGAGGTCGAGCTTCGTGGCGTGCTCCATCGCCTTGAGGCCCTCGGACCAGAGGAACCCCTTCGCCCCCCACTGCAGCAACGCGGCGAGGTATTTCTCGAGGGTGCCCTTGCCGCCGAACTCCTTGGCCTGGTCCTTGGTGGGCCCCTTGGCCTTGGGGTTCTTGTTGCGGAAGAGGAGGCACGCCTCGCAGAACTTCTCGAGCCCGGTCATGCTCGTGGGGTCCTGGCGGAGTCCCTGGAGCCAGAGGGTCATGGCGTACTCGTAGTTGGTCGTGTCCTGGATGTTCCGGGCGTGGTCGAAGAAGCGCTGGGCCTTCGCCTCGTTGGGGACGAAGGCGTTCTTGTCCTTGACCGGGTCCTCGGGGGCCTCGCCCTGCTTTTCCTTGGATTTGCCGAAGAGCGCCACGTGGTCTCCATGCTGAATCTGTGGGTTCGGTGTGCGGATGGACGCGCCGGGCCCGGCGCGGATCCACAATGCTACGCGAGGCGGCCGTTCCCGGCCACGCCGCCCCCATACGCACGGTGGAGGAACGCGGTTCTCGGGCGTACACTCGCCCCGATGAGCGTCGAGCCAAAGAGCCTCAGGATCGTGCACCACCCCGCGGAGATCCTCCGTCGCACCGCCTCGCCGATCGAGGCGGTGACGGACGAGGTCCGCGCGGTCGCGGCGCGGATGCTCGAGCTCATGTTCGAGGCCCCTGGCATCGGCCTGGCCGCACCGCAAGTGGGCCTGCCCTGGCGGATGTTCGTCTGCCACGTCGGGAAGGACCCGGACGACGAGCACACCGAGGACCCGCCGGACTACTCGACCGAGCCGATGGTGGTGATCAACCCGACGCTGAGCGAGCCCTCGCGGGACCTCGTGCCGTACGAGGAGGGGTGCCTGAGCCTGCCCGAGATCACCGGCGACGTGCGCCGGCCCAGCGAAGTGACGCTCACGGCGCTCGACGCGAGCGGCGAGGAATACTCGATGCGCGCGAGCGGGCTGCTCGCGCGGTGCTGGCAGCACGAGTACGACCACCTCGACGGGATCCTGATCATCGACAAGATGACGGCGGGCGCGCGCCTGAAGAACCGACGCGCCATCAAAGAGCTGGAGCGGGGGATCGCGTAGTGCGGATCGTCTTCTTCGGCTCCGGCGCGTTCGGGCTGCCCACGCTCCGGACCCTCGCCTCTGAACACACCGTCGCCGCGGTGGTCTCTCAGCCGGACAAGCCGGCGGGGCGCAAACGCGTGCTCACGCCGACACCGATCGCGCAGCACGCGCTGGGCGAGATGCCGGATACCCCCCTGCTCCGGCCGCCGAACATCAACGAGCCTGCGGCGCTGGCCGAGGCGCGGTCGTTCGAGTGCGACGCGTGGGTGGTGATCGCGTACGGGCAGAAACTGAGCAGCGAGCTGCTCGCGGACCGCTTCGCGATCAACCTGCACGCGTCGCTGCTGCCGCGCTGGCGCGGGGCGGCGCCGATCAACCACGCGATCATCGCGGGGGACAACGTCACCGGGAACTCCGTGATCGCGCTCGCGGAGCGCATGGACGCGGGGGTCGTCTACGGGCAGTCCGAGCGCCCCATCGAGCCCACGCAGACGGCGGGCGAGCTGCACGACGCGCTCGCCGGAGACGGCCCGTCGCTGGTGATGAGGGTGTTGGCCCAGCACGCCGACGGTTCGCTCACGCCCGAGGTCCAGGACGAGTCGAGGGTCACCATCGCCTCCAAGCTCGCCAAGGCGGACGGGTGGATCCGCCCGGAGGACGGGGCGGCGGCGTGCCGGGGACGGATCAACGGGCTCTCGCCCTGGCCCGGGGTGAGCGTCGAGATCGCCGGAGAGCCGATGAAGATCCTGTGCGCGAAATCCGTTGACGGCGGGCCGGAACAAACGGTGGGCACGCTCGCCGAATTCCGGGGAGAATTGGGCATCGCCTGCGCGGGCGGGACGGCGCTCGTCCCCCTCCGCGTGCAAGCGCCGGGGAAGAAGGAGATCGAGTGGGACGCCTACGTGCGAGGAAAGCGACCGGAACCGGGGGCGGCGGTCTCGTGCTGACGCTCTGGGACCTGCTCAGGCCGTCGCCGAAAGCGAAGCCGCGTCCCCGGCCGAAGCCCAAGGCCCGCCCGCGCGCCAAGCCGCCGACGCGCCGCGAGGGGCCGATGGCGCAGAAGTACGACGCGATGATCCGCGAGTGCCTCGCGGAGCACCGGGTGCGCGTCCGCAAGTGGCGGTCGAACATGTCCGGCATCGCGTGGGAGGTCCACTACAAGGACGGCACGGTCACCCGCCTGATCGAGTCCCCCCGCCCGAGGGGGCCGATGTCCGCAGCGGTGTTTCTCCACGAGATCGGCCACCACGCGATCGGGTTCACGCGGTATTCGCCGCGGTGCCTGGAGGAGTACAAGGCGTGGGAGTGGGCGCTGGCGGAGATGGAGCGGCGTGAGCTGAACCTGACGGATCGCGTGCGTCAGCGGATGCTGGACTCGATCCGCTACGCGGTGCGCAAAAGCCACCGGCGCGGACTGCGGGCGCTTCCTGCCGAGGTCGCGCAGTATCTGCGGGCGCATCGTGCGCCGGAGGCGTCGCTCTGGCCGGACTCGTGATGGCAACCGGATTGCGTCGATGAAGGGTGTGGCGTTCGCTCGTGAGGACGCCCCTCGATCCCGAGACGACGCACCCCGGAGGCCGACATGTCCTCAGTCAACCCGACGAACTCCCAGAACCAGGTCCCCTACTACCTCAACGCCCAGCAGGTGAACCGGGGCGGCAAGCTGTCGCTCCCCACCGAGCAGATCCAGCAGGCGTCGGACCAGTTCGTGAAGCGTGTGCAGGACAAGCTCGCCGGCGCGTCCGAGGGGCTCCGCCCGACGTACACGGTGAACTCGCGCTTCGCGCAGCTCAAGACCAAGCTCGCCTCCGCCGCCCGCGCCGAGGCGTCGGCGACGCAGAACGAGGCGATCGCCACCAAGCAGAAATCCGGCGACGCCGCCCGCGCCGAGGCGAAGGCCGCCCAGCAGGTGGCGCCCGCCGCCCAGCCCGAGCCGGCTGCGGCGACGACCAACGCGTCGTACATCGGCGAGCAGGAGCCCGTCCCGACGTCCGGGCCCGAGGTGCAGGCCGGCACCGAGCGGGTCTACAACTTTCAGGACCTGGAGGCGGCGCGCGACCTGATCGGCACGGCCGCCGAGGACTCGTCGTTCGTCGAGGACTACGACCTCGACGGCGACGGCGTGATCAGCTTCTCCGACATCGTCCAGATGCTCTTCAACTACGACTCCGGCGAGACGACCGCGTAACTCGCTTCACACGGCACGTTTGATTCTGGAAGCAGGCCCGCACGGACGCGGGCCTGTTTTCGTTATCGCCCCCGCGCCGCCGCCGGTCGGGGCGGCCCGATCGGATGCGCCGGTTGCGTCGCCCCGCGGAGGGTCGCGGGGCCCGGTTCCGGTCGCCCCGAGGAGCTCACAAGACGAGGAAACCCGTGGACGCGGCGCCGATGGTGCGCCGCCCGGTCACGGAGTCCCTCATGGTCGGCAGAGCGGGAATGCTGGTGCTCGCGCTTTCGTGCGCGGCCTCCGCTGGGGAGGGCGAGCCGGTGATCTCCTTCGCCGAGCCGCTCGCGCTGTCCATCGTGGGCGTCTCGCCCGACCTGGCGTTCGAGGAGTTCGACGTCGAGGCGGGGTACGACCTCGTCTCCATCCGCCAGCCGACCGGGCAGGTCGCGCTGCACCCCAACCTCTTCGACGGCACCTTCGGCCCGCCGGTGCTCTTCAACGCGATGGCGTCGCCGTCCAACCTGCACACCGCGGAGCTGACGGGCGACACGCGTCTCGACCTCGTCGTGAGCAGCCGCACGAGCAACCGCGTCGCGGTGATGCGCTACTCGTTCCCCGGCGTGTTCACCGTCGTGAGCCGCCCGCTCGTGAGCGGCGCCGTCTCGGATATCGCCACCGGCGACCTCGACGGCGACGGCGACCTCGATCTGATCACCACGCACCATGTCAACAACACGCTCACCATCGCCTTCAACGACGGGACCGGGCAGTTCGGCGAGAACGTCACCCTCGCCACCGGCACGCAGCCGTCCGGCGTGAACGCCAGCGACGTCAACGGCGACGGCCTCCTCGACCTGTGCGTGAGCAACGCCTTCTCGAATACCGTCAGCGTGTTCACGAACAGCGGCAACCGCGCCTTCAGCCCCCCGACGACCCTCGGGACCGGCAGCCGCCCGAGCGACGTCGCGGCCGGCGAGTTCACGGGCGACGGCCTCACGGACATCATGATGCTCAACCAGTCCAACGGCTCCGTCCGCGTCTTCCCCGGGCTCGGCGGAGGCGATTTCGGGCCGCCGATCACGTACGCCGCGGGATCGCAGCCGTTCGATATCGCCGTCGTGGACATCGACCAGGACGGGGACGACGACGCGGTGGTGGCGCTGGCGCGCCAGGACGAGTTCCTGATCTACCAGCAGGTACAGGGCGCGTTCGAGGTGCACACGTTCCCGATCGCGGGCGGGCAGCTCGCCGTCCGCGTGGGGGACCAGGACGAGGACGGGATGCCGGACCTGGCGTTCACGATCGACGGGAACAACCGGATCTTCGTCTACCGGAACACCACCCCCCCGCCGCCGCCGGTCGCGGTGATTCCCTGCCCGGCGGACTGCGACGGGAACCGGCTCGTGGATTTCAACGATCTGATCTGCACCTTGTTCAGTTTCGGGCTTTCCGGGGTGGAATCGGTCGGCTCGGACTGCGACGGCAACGGGCTGGTGAACTTCAACGACCTGCTGTGTGTTCTGTTTTCGTTTGGTCCGTGCGACGAATCCCGGACGCCGAACGGGCCGAATTCGGACCAGAGAGGCGACCCGAATGGATGAGAAAAATCGCGTTTTCATGCGACTGAGGGCGGTTGAGGAGTAGACTGAATTTGAAGGTTGTCCGTGCGTCGCCGTCGCAGCCCATCAGCAAAACCGATGATGCCACGGTGCGTATAGGTAGCTTGATCCGGGGTCGTTCGTCGTGTCCGCGGCCGATCCCAGCCCCTTCACCGCGGGAGAGATCCGCCGCGTCGGGGCGAGAAGCAGAACTCACAGATTCCCTGGAGACCACATCACGATGTCAAGCACTTCACACCGCGTCCGCGGGGGTTCTCGACGAGCCGCCCTCGCCTGCACCCTCGTCGCCACGGTCGGGCTCGCGCTGAGCGCGTCGGCGAGCGCGCAGGACCTGGTCCCGCAGAACGACAAGCTGTACTTCCAGGCGGAGACAGTCGACACCGCCGCGCCGGTGAAGGCGCTGCACAAGGTCCGCGCGATCGCGGCCGAGCCGCAGCGGTTCGTGCTCCAGCTCGACGGCCCGATGTCGCCCGCGCGCCGGGAGGCGCTGATCGAGGCGGGCGTGGTGATCGGCTCGTACGTCCCGGCGAACGCGTTCATCGTTGACCTCTCCGGCGCGGACCTCGCGTCGGTGGAGGCGATGGGCTTCGTCCGCTTCGTCGACGAGTTCCGCCCGAGCTGGAAGCTCTCCCCGCAGGTGCTCGCCGGTCGCGAGTACACCTCCGAGGACCGCAAGCTGCTCGACATGGCGGGTCGCGTGCTCGTGAACGTCACGCTCTTCGAGAACGTGAACGTCGCGGACGCGGAACGCAAGCTCGTGCAGATGCCGGGCGTCGAGTTCAAGTTCACCGAGGTGATCGGCGGCCAGAGCGTCGTGACGCTCGAGATGGACCGCGCCAAGGTCGCCGACCTCGCGGCCCACTCGGCCGTGCAATTCGTCGAGGACGCGCCGGACGTCGATTACCGCAACTCCACCACCCGCTGGATCATCCAGACGAACCAGGTGAACAACACCCCCGTCTACGACGCGGGCATCCACGGCGAGGGCCAGATCATCGGCGTCCTCGACGGCGGCGTGGACTCCAACCACTGCTCGTTCAGCGACACGCAGCCGATCGGCCCCAGCCACCGCAAGATCGTCGCGTACAACAACTCGTTCTCCACCTCGAGCCACGGCACCCACGTCGCCGGCACCGCGGCGGGTGATTCGGGCACGAACAACGACCTCCGCGGCATCGCGTACGGCGCGAAGATGGCGGTGAACACGATCCCGTCGTTCACCGAGTCCGGCATCCTGCAGCGGCTGAACCTGCACCACAGCCAGGGCGCTCGGATCCACACGAACTCCTGGGGCGACGACGGCACGACGGCGTACAACTCGCTGGCGCGCGGCTTCGACGTCTTCCTGCGCAACAACGAGGACGACGTCGTCCTGCTCGCGGTGACCAACGGCTCGGTGCTCCGCAACCCGGAGAACGCCAAGAACCTGATCGCCGTCGGCGCGACGCAGGACACGCCCAGCCAGGCCAGCCACTGCACCGCCGGCATCGGCCCGACGGCCGACGGCCGGCGCAAGCCCGAGATCTACGCCCCGGGCTGCTCGACGATCTCCGCCAACGACGACACCGCCTGCTCCACCACGAGCCTCACCGGCACGTCGATGGCCTGCCCGGCCGTCGCCGGCGCCGCGGCCCTCGTCCGCCAGTACTACATGGACGGCTTCTACCCGAGCGGCATGGAGAACTCGCTCGACGCGTTCACCCCGAGCGGGCCGCTCGTGAAGGCGACGCTTTTGAACTCGACGCGCGACATGACCGGCATCGGCGGCTTCCCCTCGAACCTCGAGGGCTGGGGACGCACCACGCTCGATGACGCGCTGTTCTTCCCCGGCGATTCGCGCCGGCTCGTCGTCGTCGACGACGTCCGCAACGCCGACGGCCTCACCACCGGCGAGAGCGTCGACTACGGGCTCAACGTCGACGGCTCCGGCGAGCCCCTCCGCATCACCATGGCTTTCTACGACGTCCCCGGCGCCTCCGGCGCGTCCAACCCCGTCGTCAACAACGTCGACCTCGTCGCCATCAGCCCGAGCGGCACGACGTACCGCGGCAACAACTTCTCGGGCGGCCAGTCGGCGCCCAACGGCTCGGCCGATGCCATCAATAGCGTCGAGCAGATCCTCGTGAACAACCCCGAGCAGGGCGGCTGGACCGTCCGCATCGTCGGCACGGCCGTGAACTCGGGCACGCAGGGCTACGCGATCGCGGCCTCCGGCGCCGTCTCCGACGGCCCGACGGCCCTCTCGGTGAACCTGGACATGGCGGCGCCCGAGATCATCGCGCCGGGCTCGTCCACCGAACTGACCATCCGCGTGAACCCGGGCGACGACATGCTCGTCGGCGGCTCCACCAAGCTCCAGCTGAGCATCGCCAACGGCTCGTTCATCGAGATCGGCACCACGCAGATTTCCGAGAACGTCTTCCGCGGGACCATCCCGCCCGTCGACTGCGGCGACGACCCCCGCTTCTTCCTGCAGGCCGAGGGCGTGACCACCGGCACCGTGTTCTTCCCGCCCGCGGGCGCGGCGGACCCGCTGCAGATCGGCGTGGGCGAGTTCGCCATCGAGCTCATGGACAACTTCGAGACCGACACCGGCTGGACCGTGAGCAACGACCCATCGCTCACCGCCGGCGGGTGGGCCCGCGGGCTGCCGCTCGGCGGCGGCGACCGCTCCGACCCGGCGACGGACTCGGACGGCTCGGGCCAGTGCTTCCTGACGGACCCGAACGACGGCGACACCGACGTCGACGGCGGCCCGACGATCCTGACGTCGCCCGCGTTCGACTTCTCCGGCTCGCTCGACGCGCAGATCAGCTACGACCGCTACTACGGCAACTCCGACATCAGCGACACGTTCGCGGTCGAGATCTCCGACGGCGGCCCGTGGGTCACCGTCGAGAACGTCAACCCGAACGGCGCGTCCACCTGGACGACCCGCACGATCAACGTCGCGGACTTCGTGAGCCTCACGAGCACCGTCCGCATCCGCTTCGTCGCGAGCGACAGCCCCAACAACTCCGTCTTCGAGGCGGGCGTCGACAACGTCGTCGCCTCCGGGTTCTCCTGCGAGAGCGCCGCGGCCTGCCTCGGCGACTGCGACGCCAACGGCGTCGTCAACTTCGAGGACCTCGTCGCCATGCTCTTCGTGTTCGGCAGCGACGACAACGGCATGTGCAACGCCGACCAGACCGGCCGCGTCGACTTCGACGACCTCGTCACCGCGCTGTTCCTCTTCGGGCCCTGCCCCAAGTAAGAACGGTCGCACCCTATTGATCGATCGCAGCACGCCCGCCCCTCTTTGTGAGGGGCGGGTTTTTTGTATGAATACTCATGATTGCTTGTTCATAAGTTTCGCGTCGTGGGGTAGATTCGGGGAGTGCCCGTCCGGGCGTCAATCCGGGAACAGTCAAGGAGCCTTGTCATGACCGCACGCCTGCTCGTCGCCATGCTCGCATCATTTCTGCTCTCCGTCGGTGCCGCGCCCGGCGCGACGCTCACCGTTGACGACGACGGGCCCGCGGATTTCGCGACGCTGCAGGCGGCCATCAACGCGTCGTCCGACGGCGACGAGATCGTCATCATGCCGGGGAACTACACGGGCCCCTTCGACACGCTCGGCCGGTCGATCCTGCTGACCGGGACCGATCCCGGCGACCCGGAGACCGTGGACTCGACCATCCTGAACGGCAGCACGAATCACCGCGTCATGAACATCCCGCCCTCGGCCGCCCTGGTCATCCTCCGGGGGCTCACGGTCTAGCGCGGCTCGGACGGCGCCGGCGACCCGGACGGCGCCGGGCTCCGGATTGTCGGCGCGTCGGTGATCGTCGATCGCTGCCGCTTCCACCAGAACCACGCCGCGGGCGAGGGCGGCGCGATCGCCGTGCGCGACGGGGAGCTCACGGCCCAGGACTGCCTGTTCACCGGCAACAGCGCCCACTCGGGCGGCGCCGTGGACGTGGTCAACGCGGACGCCACCTTCCAACGCTGCGAGTTCAACGGGAATACAAGCGAGAGCGCCGGCGGCGCGATGCACCTCACCGGCCCGAGCCTCGCGGGACGGATCGCCGTCACGATCGAGGGGAGCGCGTTCCGGCAGAACATGGCCGGCGAGATCGGCGGCGCCATGCACTCGTCGCTGGCCGGCATCGCGCTCGAGGACACCCTGTTCGATTCGAACGCCGCATTGAATGTTGAAGGGACTTTCGCGTACGGCGGCGCGCTGTCGCTCTGGACGACGAACGTTCGGTCTGAGGATTGCGTGTTCGTCGGCAACGCCGCGATCTCGCGGAGGAGCAGCCTCGGCGGCGCTGTCGCGACCCAGGACGGCACAGACTTCGAGGCCGTGCGGACGGCCTTTGTCTCGAACGCTTCGCTCGCGACCGACCCGCCGAGCCCGTTCGTCTGCGGCGAGGGCGGCGCGCTGGACTTCAGCGACAGCGACCTTCGCGCCGTCGGATGCGTGTTCATCGCGAACACCGCGACCAACGCGCTGGCGAGCGCGATCGACTACTCGGGTGCGAACTTCTGCGATACCAATCTCGTCCACGAACTCACGAACTGCACCTTCGCGGGCAACCATGTGATGGACGTGTTCGGATCGCCTCCGCAGCCCGTCGCGACGGTCCGCCATTTTTACTATTGCGGTCCCTGCGGGTGCTTCCTCGGCGTCGACTACCCGCCTCTCACCATCACCAACTGCGTGTTCGACGACCCGACCGAGGTGAGCGCGTACGCGATCGGCGAGCGGGGGACGATGGTGGAAGCCAACAACGTCGGCTTCAAGCACGAGAGCCTGCCCGCGGGCCCGGCCCCCGTGTTCGTGGATCCGAGCGCCGGCGATTTCCGCCTCGCCCCCGGTTCCCCGGGCGTCGACGCCGGGGACAACAGTGCGCTGCCCGCCGATTACACGACGGACCTGCTGGGCCTGCCGCGTGTCGTCAACGGCACGGTCGACGCCGGCGCGTACGAGCTGCAGTCTTCCGCGCCGTGCCTCGGCGACTGCGACAACTCCGGGACCGTCGATTTCAACGACCTCGTCGCCATGCTCTTCGAATTCGGCAACGCCACGCCGGCGTGCGACGCGGACGGCAGCCAGAACGTTGATTTCAACGACCTCGTCGCGGCGCTGTTCCTGTTCGGGCCCTGCCCCAAGTAAGTACGGTCGCGGCTGATTGATCGATCGCACTACGCCCGCCCCTTTTTGTGAGGGGCGGGTTTTTTTATGGGCGATTGCGGGGCGTGAGAGGGGTTCGGCGTCCGAAATATCGAAGAACGGTCGCCATTTCCCCGCGCTCGGGTACGTTAGAAGTGTCCGTGTCCACATGAATCGATATTCAAAAGGGAGCACCCCCATGCAGAACCGCGCCACGCTCGCTCTGATCGCGTTCGGCCTGACGCCGTCGCTTTGCGCTCACGCCGCGACGATCACCGTCGACGACGACGGCCCCGCCGACTTCTCGAGCATCCAGGCGGCGATCAACGCCTCGGCGGACGGGGACGAGATCATCGTGATGCCCGGGACGTACTTCGAGCACCTGACGATGCTCGGCAAGGCGATCACGCTTCGCGGCTCTGACCCGAGCAGCGCGAACACGGTGGCGATGACCATGATCGACGGCCAGCAGGCCGGCGTCGTCATCCGGTGCGAGAACGGCGAGGGGCCGGGCACGGTGATCGAGGGGCTCAACATCCGCAACGGCGAATTCGCCACGGGCGGCGGCTTCCGGATTGTTGGCGCGAGCCCGACCATCCGGGACTGCCAGATCGAGGAGAACCGCTCGCCGCGCGGTGGCGGGGCGTACCTGTTCGACGGCTCGGACACCACGTTCGAGCGGTGCGTGTTCAGGAACAACCTCGGGCGCCAGCCCGATACGTTCGGCCCGGAGGGGGGCGGGGTGTACATGGAGCAGGAGTGCTCGCCGACGTTCACCGAGTGCGACTTCGATATGAATCGCTCGAGCAACGGCGACGCGGTCGGGATCGGCGGCGCGGTCGCCGCGGTGGACACCTGCACGCCGTCGTTTGTCGATTGCAACTTCTTTGCGAACGAGGCACGCAGCACCGCCGGCGCCATCTACCTGTCCAACGGCGGCGGGCTCACGGCGACCCGGTGCGTCTTCTTCGACAACGAGGGCAACACGAACGGTGGCGCGATCTACCTCGAAGCGACTGAGGAGGTCTCGATGATCGAAGGCTGCGAGTTCCTGGATAGCATCGGCCCGGCGCTCGGGCTCCGGGACGCCTTCGCCGAGGTCCGATCGTCACGTTTCGAGGGCAACCGAACCCCGTTTAGCGGGGCTGCGATCAACGCCTTCGGCGCCGCGATCCACGGGGTGACCGTCACCGATACGGTGTTCATCTCCAACCTCTCGGGGCTGAGCGGCGGAGCGATTCGATATAGCGGGACCGGCACATGCACGCTCGAGAACTGCACGCTTCGGAACAACGACACCGATGGTTTCGGCGGTGCCGTGACGATCCTTGAAGGCACGCTCAAGGTGACGAACTGCGTGTTCGAGAACAACTCCGCGGCGGACCCCGGCGGCGGCGCGATCTACGTCGACGACGCGACAGCACAGATCCTCTCGAGCGTCTTCGACGGGAACACCGCCCAGCGGCCGAACGGAGTCCCGATCTTCGCCAGGGGCGGCGCGGTGTGCAATAACGCTGGCGAGGTCGAAATCGTCAACGGCCTGCTCATCCGCAACCTGGGCGACAGCGGCAGCGCGGTGCACACGACCAGCGCCGAGGATACGACGCTCATCAATTGCACCGTCGCGGACAGCGTCGATCCGAATTTCTTCATGGTGCCCGCGATGGTCCGTCTCGGCGTCGGCGCGCTGCGCCTGCGGAACACGATCCTCTGGAACCCGGCGCTCGACGTCGAGATCGAGGGCGTCGGGGATGTGGAGTTCAGCCTCGTCCGCAACGGCGCCCCCGGGATGGGCAACATCTCGGGCGACCCGCTCTTCGTCTCCCCGGCGCTGGGCGACTACAGCCTCGCGTCGAGCTCGCCCGCGATCGACGCCGGCGACGCGAGCGTCGTGCCCGGCGACGTCCTGACCGACATCGAGGGCGAGGACCGCATCGTCAACGGCCAGGTCGACATGGGCGCCTTCGAGAACCAGGGCAGCGTCGTCTGCCTCGGCGACTGCGACAACTCCGGCTCGGTCGACTTCAACGACCTCGTCGCCATGCTCTTCGAGTTCGGCAACGGCGGCGTCGAGTGCGACGCGGACGGGAGCGGGAGCGTGGATTTCAACGACCTGGTCGCGGCGCTGTTCCTGTTCGGGGCGTGCCCCTGACTCAGCGGTGTCGGCGCACGCCAAGCAGCGCGACAGCGCCGAGAGCGAACGCGCCGGGTGACGGCACGCTCTGCGAGATGAGCGGGATGGCGTATTCGGGATCGCCGAACTCGTCGAGTTCGAAGGTCAGCACGAGGCCGATGCCGGGGGCGAAGAACTTGCTCTCGGCGATGTTCGGGCCGTCGATGAGGTTGCCCTCGTGGGTGTTGAGGACGTTCGCGAACAGGCCCATCTCGGTCTCGAAAAGGTCGCGGTACTCCGAGACGATCGCGAAATCGAGGGTGACGCCCGGGGCGTACTCCTGGTGGTAGCTGTGGCCCGGGGCGGGGGTCGCCCACATGGCGACGCCGGGGAGCTGGCTCACGCCGTCGGCGATCCAGCTGCCCTCGGTGTCCGTGCCGACGAGGTTGCCGGCGTCGTCGTAGTTGTAGTTGGTCACGCGCTCGCCGAAGTACCAGACGTTGCCCGCGGAGTCGGTCGCGTAGAGGTCGTTGGTGACCTCGGAGAGCTGGCCGTCGGTGTACTCGGTGTCGCGGACGACGCGGGTGCGCACGCCCATGACGGTGACGGTCTCGCCCGTGACGACGGACTCGACGCGCTCGAGCTCGTCGCCGTTGAAGCCCTCGAAGACGGAGACCGTCCCGGGCGTGAGCGGGAAGTAGGCGTTGCCGTGCGCGGCGCTGGCGGTCGTGAAGGTCGCCTGCGTCCAGTCGGGCAGCTCGGGCGAGGCGGTCGCCGTCGCGCAAGCGGTCGCCAGGATGACGGGGAGGGAAACGCGGTTCGCGGTGCGGTTCGGCATGGCGCTGCTCCGTGAGGGGGCGGTGGGAAGGGGGAACGGCCCGGATTCAACGTACACCGGGATCGCGCCGTTTCATGACGGCTTCGTGACGGAACGCGCGATTTCGCGCTCACCTCCCCGCTCACGCCCCCGAAACAGCGGGATGCCCGGCGTCTCACGCGGGTGTGGCGGCGTGAGGCCGGGCAGAGCCCGTCCGTAAAGGATCACTCAGTTCGTGCCCCCTCCGCCCCTGTGCGGCGGAGGCGGGCGCGTGCTCTCACTCGATCAACCGCTCACTCGGCGCGCCGGCGGCGCACCGTGAGCAGCGCCCCGAAACCGATCGCCGAGGGCACGGCCGGCGCCGGGACGACGCGCTGCTCGACGAGCTCGATCTCGGATTCGACCTCGCCGAGGTCGTCCAGGCCCTGGATGAGCACGAGGCCGACGCCCGGGGCGTAGAGCTTGTGCTCGGCGATCTCGGGGCCGTCGAAGAGGTTGCCCTCGCTCGTCTCGAGGACGCTCGTGAACATCCCGAAGTCAATATCCACGACGCCGTCGAGGCCGTTGATGACCGCGAAGTCCAGCGCGACGCCCGGGGCGAACTCCTGGTAGTAGCTGTCGCCGACCATCGGCCCGGCGGGCATGATGAGCCCGGGGAAGTTGGTGACGCCGTCGGCGATCCAACTGCCGTCGTTGTTGGTGCCGATGAGCTTCCCGTCGTCGTCGTACTCGTAGTTTACGACGTTCTCTCCGAAGTACCAGACGTTGCCGTCGGTGTCCTGCGCGAACCAGTCGTCCGCGACCTCGACGAGCAGGCCGTCGACGTATTCCGTATCGCGGATGACGCGGTTCTCGATGCCGAGGATGTTCACGGTCTCGGTCGTGATAAGTGACTCGATGCGCTCGAACTCGTCCTCGTCGAAGCCCTCGAAGACCGAGAGGAGGTTGGGCTGGAGCGAGAAGAACTGGTTGCCGCCCGTGGCGCTCGCGGCGTCGAAGGTCGCCATCGTGTAATCGGGCAGCGTCGGGGTGGGGCCGGCGATCGCCGTCCCGGCGGTGAGGGCGAGCAGGCTCGCGGCGAAGGTCGATCTCTCCGTGGTCATTGTGAAGTCTCCTTGTGCGTGTGACTCGTGCTTGTCGCGACGCGCGACACGCCAAACCTACGCCCGTCCGGAAATCTCGCGTGACGCGTGGATGACGGCGCGGAAAGACTTTCCGTCACGATTCCGTCATGTGGATCCGCCGGAGCGGGGTGTATGCTTCAACCGTGAGGATCCTCGTCATCGAAGATTCCGACCGCCTCCGCGACACCCTCGCCGACGGCCTCGGCGCGGAGGGGTACGCCGTGGACACCGCGGCGGACGGGCGCGACGGCCTCGCCTCGGCGCGGGCGGTGGACTACGACGCGATCGTGCTGGACCTGATGCTGCCGGAGATGGACGGTCTGACGGTGCTGACGAAGCTGCGCGCGCTGTCGCACGACGTGCCGGTGCTCATCCTGAGCGCCCGCGACCGTGTGGAGCACCGCGTGGAGGGGCTCCGCCTGGGCGCGGACGACTACATGATCAAGCCGTTCGCCTTCTCCGAGCTTCTCGCGAGGATCGAGGTGCTGTGCCGGAGGCGGTCGGGCCGCCCGTGCAACACGGTGGACGTCGGCCCGGTCTCGCTCGACCTGGGCGCGAAACGGTTCAGCGTGCACGGCACGCCCGTCGAGCTCGCCCCGCGCGAGTACGCGGTGCTCGAGCTGCTCTTCCTGAGTGCCGGGCGCGTGCTCTCGCGCGCCGAGATCGAGGAGCACGTGTACGCGTCGGACAAGCAGGTGTGGTCCAACGCCGTGGATTCGTCGATCGCCGCGATCCGCAAGGCGCTGCGCGAGGCCGGGGTGGAGGGCCTCGTGAGGACGCGCCGGGGGCTGGGGTACGTGGTCGAGGGGGAGGGGGCGGCGTCGTGAGGTCGATCCGCGACGACATCCGGAGGTGGGTCATGCGCGTCGTCGTGGTCGCGATCCTCGGATCCGGGGCGCTGATCACGGTCCTGTCGTACCGGTCGATCTCGGGCCAGTTCGACGACGCGCTGCTCGCGCGGGCCCGGGATTTCTCGGCGCTCGTCATCGAGGAGGCCGAGGACACCGAGGAGGGCGAGCCCAGCGAGATCGTCTTCGACTACAAGTGGTCGCTCGAGGAGCGCGACATCGGGGCGCTGGTCCGCGTGTCGGTCGTCGGGAAAGGGGCGATCGCCGAGTCGGACGGGTGGCCCGGAACGGTCGGCGATTCGTCGTTCGAGTCGCTCGACGCCGAGGCTCACGCGTTCTCGACCGTCACGCTGGAAGACGGCCGAACGATGCGCCTCGTCACGCTCGTGCTCCCGCCGATCGTCGAGGTGCCCGATCACATCGAGATCCCGGTGCACGTCGAGTTCTCGGGCACGGACGAGCAACGGGCGGCGCTCCTCGAGCCGCATGAGGACGAGAACGAAGACTTCGTGTTCGATTCCGCGCACCTCGTCGCGGTGCAGGTGATGACGGACTGGTCCCCGGTTCGGCGGGGCGTCTCCGGCGTCGGGATGGCGGTCATGCTCAGCACGCTTGGATCGTTCCTCGTGCTCCTGGTCACGATCCGCGTGCTCGTCGGCCGCGGGCTCGAGCCGCTGGCCGCGCTCGGGCGGGCGATCGAATCGACGGACCCGTCGCGGCTCCGCCCCATCGGCGACCTGCCGGGCGAGCGCGCCGAGATCACCCCCATCCGCGAGGCGATGAACGCCCTGCTCGAACGCCTCGACGGCGCGATCGAGCGCGAGCGGCGCTTCACGGACGCCGCGGCCCACGAGCTGCGGACGCCGATCGCGGAGCTGCGCGCGAGCGCGGAGGTGGCGTCGCGCCACCCCGACGAGCGGCGGCAGCGCGAGAGCGTCGCCCAGAGCGGGCAGATCGCCGAGGAGATGACGGAGCTGATCGAGGCCCTGCTCCTCGCGTCGAGGCGCGAGACGGGCGAGCGCCTCTCGTACGACGAGGTCCACCTCGCGCCGATCGTGCGCGAGATCGTGGATCACGAGCGGGAGCGTGCGAACGCGAAGCGGCTCGCGGTCGAGGTGATCGCGGACGAATCCGCGTCGTGGCGCGTCCCGCGCGGCGCGGCGGTGATCGTCGCGCGGAACCTCATCGCCAACGCCGTCGCCTACACGCCCGAGGGCGGGTCGGTGACGGTCGACGTGCGGCGCACGGACGCCGGCGTCGTGCTCGGGGTGCGCAACCGCCCGGTGACGATCGCGCCGAGCGACGTCGAGCGGATGTTCGAGCCCTTCTGGCGCGCCGACTCCGCCCGGGCCGACCGCGCCCACCGCGGGCTCGGGCTCGCGGTGGTGCGGACGCAGTGCGAGGCGTTCGGGCTCGAGCTGTCGCCCGCTCACGACCCCGACGCGTCCGAGTTCCGCCTCGCCGTCCGCGGGCCCGGTCGCTGATCTTTTTTTTGAGAGTCGTTCCCCGCCCCCGCGTGTATGCTCGGTCGCATGAAACACGCGCTCTGTATCGTGGCGGGTCTGTGTCTGTTCGGTTCGAGCGCGTCCGCGCAGGACGCCGCGGAGTGGGTGGGCGGGCCCGCCGGGGCGTGGTCGGACGCGTCGAACTGGAGCACGCCGGCGTACCCGGGCGAGGCGTCGGACGGCGACTCGGTCGACCTCACGACGCTCGCCGACGCGACGGCGATCGACGTGGACGTGCGCGTCACGCTCGCGTCGCTCACGCTCGCGCCCGAATCGACCCTCCGCATCCCGTTCCCGGACGGCGCTGTGCCGATCACCGTGAACGGTCCGCTCGCGCTCGCGGGGGGGCTCGTCGTGATCGGCGACGCGCCGGGCGGCGGCGGGCCGGACGCGACGGCGCTGCTCGTCGCCTCGGACGCCACGGGCGATTTCGCGGTCGCGTACCTCCCGGGCATCCCGAAGAGCGAGGGCGAGACGCCCCGCTACTACCGCGTGCGCCGCTCCGGCGGCTCGCTGCTCGCGAGCGGGACGACGCCGTCCGTCGCGGTCGAGCTCGTCGCCGAGACGCTCTCGGGCGACGTGGTGACCGACCCGCCGGCGCCGTTCGGCGCGCCGGGGCAGCCGACGGACGCCGCGGTCGGCGACCTGAACAACGACGGCCTGCCCGACCTCGCGCTCGCCGTCCCCGCGAGCGCCCGCGGCGCGGACGGCGCCGCGGTGGTGCTGTTCAACGGCGGCACGACCGGCGGGGGCTGGGTCGGGTACGACGCGGTGGCGCAGGTCACCGTCGGCGTGGACCCGTCGGGCATCGACATCGGCGACGCCGACCGCGAGGGCGGGCTGGACATCGCGGTCTCGAACATGGGCGAGGACTCGGTGAGCGTGATCCTCAACAGCGGGACGGGCCTGCCGGGTTCGCTCTTCGTCGACCGCACGGAGTCCACCGGCGCCATGCCCGCGTCGGTCGCGTTCGGCGACCTGGACGAGGACAAGTGGGACGATCTGATCGTCGCGAACTTCGGCTCCGGCGACCTCACCGTCTTCGAGAACCTCCAGACGCTCGAGGGCTCGTGGGGCGGCGTGAAGCCCGCGGGCGACCCCGTCCCCGTCGGCCTCGGGCCGGTGGACGTGCTCTTCGCCGACCTCGACGAGGACAAGTGGGACGACATCCTCGTCGCCGACCGGATCGCCGGGACGATCGTCTACATCGACAACACGATCCCCCCCGGCACGCTCGACCCGCCCGTCACCCTCGCGTCGGACGCCGGCACGACGGAGCTCGCCATCGCCGACCTCGACGGCGACGGCGACAACGACATCGCCTCCGTCAACGCGTCCGGGGGTTCCGTCTCCGTCATCCTCGGCAACGGCGACGGCACGTTCGAGCCGGTCGTCAACCTGCCGGTCGCGTCGATGCCGCAGTCGATCACGGCGGCGGACCTCGACGACGACGCGGACCCGGACCTCGCGGTCGTGGCGGGCGACCCGGCGGACGTGAACGTGCTGCGCAACGACGGCTCGCCCGGCGGGACGCTGACGTTCGCGCCGGACGGGACGATCGATTCCGGCGGCGTGCCGCGCCTGGTGCGCGCGGGGGACGTCGACGGCGACGGCCAGACGGACCTGGTGATCGTCAACGACGCGTCCGCCCCCTCGCCGTCGAACGGCGTCGCGCCGCCGGCGGTGAGCGTCGTGCTGCAGAGCGGGGCCACGACGTGCGCGGGCGACTGCGACGGGGACGGCGTGGTGACGATGGGCGACCTGGTCTCGATGCTGATGATCTTCGAGACGGACGCCCCGGGCTCGCCCTGCGACGCGGACGGCTCGGGCTTCGTGGACTTTGACGACCTGGTGAGTGCGCTGTTCGTGTTCGGGGTGTGCGAGGGGATGTGAGGGAGCAGCGTCGCTCGCGGTTACGCCTCCCACCTCTCCCCCGGAGGTGGGAGAGGTCGGATGTCGTGCGCCAGCCGACATCCGGGTGAGGGGGTTCGTTGTGGGTTTGCGTGACCGTTGACGCCCGCGACACCGCCGCGCGGGGGAGAGGTGGCACGGACACCCCGCCACCGCCTGACGGAGTCGCACCGCTTCGGCCCGCTTCCTCACGGGCGCGGTTGTTCCCGGGGTGCGTCCTGGTAACAACCGCGACCGTGAGGGAGCGGGACAGGGGGGCGCAATTCGCACTCAGCTCGGGCCGGCACGCGTCGGCGCCTCCCCACCTCTCCCCCGGAGGCGGGAGAGGTCGGATGTCGTGCGCCAGCCGTCAGCCGGGTGAGGGGGTTCGTTGTGGGTCCGCGTGACCGATGACGCCCGCGACACCGCCGTGCGGGGGAGAAGTGGCACGGACACCCCGCCACCGCCTGACGGAGTCGCACCGCTTCGGCCCGGCTCGCTGATCCGTCAGGAAAGACGATTCCTACAATGCGCACGATGAAACGAATCAACCTCATCCTTGTGCTGGTGTCCTTGTGTGTTGACAACGCTACGGCGCAGCCGGGGCATCGGCTCGTGCAAGTCCAGAATTTTCGCGACCCACCAACAAATGTCGTGCTCGACACATTCGGCAACGAGCTCGCATCGGACACGTGCGACCTGATGACCAAAGAGGGCGATACGAAATTTCACATCGTGGTCAGAGGGCACGACCAGGACCATCTCGTCCGCGTCACAGCCGATGCCATCACACTCGACGGCGTCGAGACAGGCATCGACCCGCCCGACGAGACGTGGAATCAGGCGTGGCGAGGCATTGTGGTCACGATCGCCGGTGACTTTATGTGTATCACCCTTGTTGTTGAGCCCTCAGACCCTCAACGAAAACAGGTTGTTTTCTACTCGATGAAGGATCGAAAAGTCACCTCGGTTTTGGACGACCACGAGATCGTCAGTGGTTCCGCACAGTTTTGGGTTCCCGAAGTTGTTGAACCGTGTCCGTTCGTGATCGTGTCTCGAGGACAGCGAAGAGGGCTGTACGATCCAATGACGCGCGCGTTTGTGCTCGCTGTCGAGCATTCGTACATCGGCAAGTACGGCGAGGGGCGTCTGGTTGTCGGTGATGGCGTCGGCTGGGTGCGATTTTTCGATGTGGAAACGCGCCTTTTTTCAGAGCAGCGCTATCGCAGCGCGACCCGTTTCTCTGAAGGGCACGCGATCGTCGAAAACCCGAACTGGCAGCCGACGCTCGACGATCCGACTCACCTTGTGATCGATTCGAATTACTCGGTTGTCGGACCTGTCGAGGCCAGGCTGGACCGGCTTCACGAACATGGCCCGTTCCTGAATGATCGCGCTTGCGTGCGGAGCAAGGACGGATACTACGGCTACATTCGGACCGACGGGACACTCGCGATTCCCTGCGTTTTCCAATACGCGCGTGGCTTCCATCAGGGCGTTGCGTCGGCGATTCTCCCGGGCACGAAGTCCGGCGAGCCGTACGAAGCGGCGCTGTCCGTCGTGGATCCGGGGGAGCGCTACGACCGCATACACATGGGCATAGGCGTGATGATCCGAAAATCCGGCAGGATCTTTGACCAGCTTATGTCACAAGACTGGTACGTCGCCAGTGACGCTGCGTACCACGGGTGCATTCAAGCCCGTCGGCAAGGCGACCATTTCGGAGCGTGTCTCCTCCTTGACCTTGACGGGCATATCTTGTGGGAAGAGCCGACGGGACAGGCACCGGTCGAGCAGGACGATACACCACATTGAAAAGCAAGATCTTCAGACTCCGCACGGACACCCCGCCACGCCCGACGGAGGGCGACCGTTCCGGACCTGATATCGTCCCACCATGTCTCCCATCCGCTATTTCTACGCTCGCAACGATCGCACCAAGGCGCGATACCTCCTGGACACCCGGGGCAACGTCTACAACAACGACTTTCAGGACCTCAAGTCCGTCCGTATCGTGCCGGGGCACGAGAACGACGCGCTCGCACTCCATACGGAAGACGTGGTCATCATCGACGGGCGGGAGACGGATATCCCGCCGATGATCGACGGGGTCCGGGGCTTCTTGAGCATGAGTATCGTCGGCGAGCACGTCGCGTGCTTCCACTCGCCGTCGCTCCATGACGTCAACGGAACGGTCAGATTCTACTCCCTTCGAGAGCAGCGCGTGACGTCACAACTCGAGGGATTAATGCGACCCTTGCAGCCCCCGATCGGCAACACCCGTTCGGGCTCACCGTTCTACTCGGTCGAGCGGATGAGCGACGAGACGATCCTGCACTGCGGCCTCTACGAGCCCGCGACCGATCGCTTTGTGCTCGAACCCGAGTACCCGTTCATCGGCAACTACGGCAACGGGATGCATCCGGTCCAGATCCGGCCGCTCGAGGACGCGTACTTTGACGTGGCGACCGAGTCGCTGCTGCCGCGGCGTTACGTTTCCGCGACCCCGTTCAGCAACGGGCTCGCCTGCGTCGTCCGTCGCCCGCCCGGCTTCGCGGGGCCGAGCGACGCCGAGATGCGTGACATGTATGAGCGCCAGCGGAAAAACCCGTTCGCATCCCTTCGTACCGAGCAGAAGCGGCCGAATGAGCGCGTCGTCATCGACTCAGAATTTCAACAGCTGAGCGAGCCGATCGCCCATCAAAGCGTGGGGATGGTCTGGTATGACGGCAGGACGATCGCTCGACTCTCCCCAAAGCGCTACGGCATCATTGACACCCGAGGCGACTTTGTCGTCCCGCCGGTGTTCGAATTCCTCACGGAGATCGTTGAAGGGCGAGCGATCGCACGTATCCCTCTCGTCTCCACCCCGGTGACAGACCAGCCAACACGCGAGGCGCTGAGCGTCCTCGGGCTCGACATCGACCCGCTCTCGGAGGAGGCGGGCCAACCCTTTGTCATCGACACACAAACCGGCCGAGCCATCGAGGCGTTCTTGCGACCGTCCGTCCCGCGAAACTCGGGGCTCCGGTTCGTGCACGACAGAATCCTGATGAATCCATCGGAACGCGACGACAAGCACGGCATGGCGCTGCTCGAACTCGATGGCCGGGTGCTCTGGCAGGAGCCGGTGTCGGCGCGCGGCTGAGCGTCAACGGACACCCCACCACCGCCCGACGGAGGGTGACCGCTTTGGCCCGCTTCCTCACGGGCCTTTTTCATCAAGCCGCCCTCC